AAACTGTTGATTTATCCTATTTATTATTCATAGGATTGAACAAATATAATTCAGTCCTATATGCATAATAAAAAGATTGTATGGTCTGTTTGTTTTGAATGGGAAGAAGTAACTGTTGGATTTGAGCCTCCAGGAGAGTCTTTTTTCATTCTAGTCAGCTCTAGCTTTGAGGAGGCTTACCACCTCCAGCCAATAATTGACCCATTGTCTTTTAGGATTTACATACCACCTAGAAGGAAATGTGGCCCTAATGTTGGAAAATATTAAGAATTGAGTTCTGTCTCCTAAATCTCTTTATAGGAAGTTGTCCCTGTGTGTTGGGCCACTGTTGACATTTACTTTGATAAACAATTTTTTTTTTTTTGATGGTTAGAAGCACAGAATTGCAGATTTCATCTCTGGTAGGTCCCTTGACACTTTGATGCATGGTAGTGCTATCCCTGAATGGAGCCTAAATACTTCAGGGCTACTTTCTGACTGGATGAAGGGGTATATAAAATGAGAACATATGAGAGAGTATTAACAGAAAGGCACACTTTGATTTACTGATATTGGCTCTCTGCTTTCTTGTTGGATTGATATGCTGTCTAATATATCTGCAATGGATTTTTAAAAACTGACTTGAACAAAATAAAAGGACTTATGTAGCTGCTTGAAAGTGGCCCTTAAAAGTTGTAGTCTGTTGTTGGATGTTTTCACAGTTTTTGGTTACGCTACATGTTAGAATCAAATTATGACTTGTGTGTTGGGGGCAAGGAGCTATAAACATTATAAACTGCTTTGAGGCTTGTTCCTTGTGTGGTTCTTGATTTTATATTTTAGATAATGGATAAATGGGACCTATAGGAAGTAAGGAACAGTCACTTAAGTGCTCTTCCTGTTCTTAACTTTTGTAGTAAAAAAACATGTAACACAATTTTCCATCTTAACCATTTTTAAGTACACAGTTTAGTAGTGTTAAGTATATTCACATTATTGGGCAATCTCCAGAACTTTTTCATCTTGCAAAACCAAAACTCTGTACCCATTAAAAAACAGCTCTCCAGTTCCCTCTCCCTCCAGCCTCTGGTAACCACCATTCTTTCTGTCTCTATGATTTTGACTTCTGAAGGAACCTCATATAAGTGGGATCATGAGTATTTGTCTTTTTCTAAGTGGCTTATTTTACTAAGCAAAATGTTTCAAGGTTCATCCATGGTGTAGCATGTGTCAGAACTTCCTTCCTTTTTACGTCTGAATAATTTATTGTCTTTTCTTGTTCTTTTTGAGTAGGCTCAGTTTGGAGATTATAGATGATTTTTTTCTGTACAAAGATGAACTGGGATGGTAGGATTTTTATTATACTTTTGCCTTGGGATTTTTTAAATGGTGATAAAATAAACATGCATAAGCTTACCATTTTAACCATTTTAAGTATGCAGTTCATTGTCAGTAAGTACATTCACATTGTTGTGCAACCATCATCATCATTCACCTCCAAAAATTTTTCATCATCCCAAACTGAAACTCTGTACCCATTAAACAATGATTCCCCATTCTCTTCTTCCCAGTCTTTGGTAACTATTGTTCTGCTTTCTGTCTATGAGTTTGACTATTTTAGGTGCCTCATTTAAGTGGAATTATAAATATTTTTTCTTTTGTAATTAGCTTATTTCATTTAGCCTAATAATTTCAAGGTTCAGTTTGGGTTTGTTTTTTTTTGTTTTGTTTTGTTTTTGAGTTGGAGTATCACTCTGTCACCCAGGCTGGAGGGCAGTGGTACACTCCTGGCCACCGCAGCCTCGACCTTCTGGACTCAGGCCATCCTTCCGCCTCAGCCTTCCAAGTAGCTGGAACTACAGGCACACGCCCGGCTAATTTTTTGATTTATTGTAGAGTTGAGGTCTCGCCAAGTTGCCCAGGCTGATCTTAAACCCCTAGACTCAGGCAGTCCTCTCATCTCAGCCTCCCAAAGTGCTGGGATTATAGACATGAGCCATCGTGCCCGGCCTAGTCTGGGTTTTTTTTAATTTTAATTTTTTTATTTTTTAGAGACAGGATCTTACTCCGTCACCCAATCTGGACCATATTGTGTGACCCATAGCCCACTATAGCCTCAAGACCCTGGGTACAAGTGATCCTCCTGTCCCAGCCTATCAAGTAGCTGGGACAACAGGCGCATGGCACCGTGCCTGGCTAATTTTTAAAAAATGTTTTGTAGAGATGAGGTTTTGCTATGTTGCCCAGGCTGGTCTCCTGACCTCAAGCAATCCTCTTACCATGGCCTCCCAAAGTGCAGGGATTGCAGACATGAACCACTGCGCCCAGCCTATCTGGAGAGTTTTTAAAACTACTTTGTAGATGTAAAATGATCTGTGGTTTCACTTTGGAAACCATAAACTCTATCTCTTAAGATATACTTATTTCTAGAAAAAAAGGTAAAAACAGTGGTTAATAGAATTTAAATGAAATAAGATTTCTGTATTTTCATAGACACTTGCAAGTATTAGTGTCTTTTCTATCTTTTTGTTAAGGCTGTTGCTACAACATACGCTTTCAGAACCTTAACTACTATGAGATATCTGTTTATAATTCTCAGGTCTTTTCATGATGATCATCTGTGGTAACACTGTAGTTATCATTTGTATCCTTTGCTTTCCTCATTCCTTTAGAAATTTTCCATATATTTACATAATTTTGCATTGTTCTGCTTACGCAGTTAGCATATGTAGACTGAATAATTTTTGCCTTTAAAATTGTATCTTTGTTCTTTTTTCTTGATTGCTTTTCATCTTATTTATACTTAACTCATTTTCCAAAAAACAAACCAACAAGAGTAACTCTGTTTTCTTCCCATGAGGATAACTTTTTAGCTCCATATTTGGTGGAATTTTTTTTCTTTTTCTTTTTTAAAGATTGAGAGCAACAGATTAAGAATCTTGATTTGGAACATAAGGCATTTTGAATTTTTTTAGGTAATTTTTAAAAAAATTTAGATCAGAAAATATAGTTTATTTAGGAAGTAAATTAGAGAGAAAGAGAAAGAGGAGAGTCACCTCCCCAAGGCAGGGAAGGGGACCAAAGCTTAGAAAACATAGTGACCATAGCTCAAAGAGCCACATAACAAAGCAGTGACCCTAGGTAATATTTATATATTGAAAGTCCTCTCAAGTTGTATGATATGCACTGATTATAAAAGGATTAGAGTATAGAGTTTAGAAAAGACATGATCAAGGATCTTATTTTAAATGAGAAAATTGTATTTATATAGCTTTATATGCAGATTATTTGAAGGAATGCAAAGTAGTTATTGGCTCATTGAGGTACTCTTGCCAGTCTGAGAAGGCTTTGTATGCCCAGAACTTGTCTAACTCATGCGTTGCTGTCCCATTGATGGAACAGATTGGATGTAAAATAGAAGTCTGCTCATTCTGGGCAGGGTAGAAGGAGAAGCAGAAAAAATGATAGAATAAGACTCATAAAAATCATTTTTATCCTAAGTTTGCGTGGGCTTGAGTTTGTGTGGAATGTAAAATAAAAACAAATGTAGGGATTGTTGAATGGTGGTAGTTATGCTTGTGAGAAGATTACAGTTGTATTAGAGAAAGAGAAGAAGTGATAGAAACATGGCCGAAGATAAATGGATAGTTATTAGTGATAATAAGAATAGAAAATGCAGGATTTAGCAGCCAAATAAATGTATAGAATAAGAGCATCCAAATGTCAGTGGTCTCTTATGAAAACACATTAAACAGCAGAGAAATTCAGACAAGGGAAGTATTAGATAGGAAGCCAAAAGTTCTTCCTACTGTGGTATGTTGGAAGGAGTGATGGCGCATTCATGTGAGATCTTTTGGCAGTTGCTGAAAATGTGAACGTTTGCTTATACGAGAGGTGTCTGAATGCCTTCAGCACATAAATGGTGATTCTCTGTGTCTAGTTAACCTCCCTGATAGGATTATTCTGCTAGAGAAGGTAAGAGCTCAGTTTTTCGAGGACCAGTTTTTATTCTAAAAGTTTTTAGCCATAGCCTATATTATGAATCCAGCCAGCTATATTGCAAATGCATTCTATTGGCTATGAGGAGAATGAAGTAAGAACATATTCTCAATGTACTGATTTTTTAATATACAATTCAGTACTGCAAATAGAAAGTCATTAACTTGGGTTTTCATATGTGAACAAGATATGTGTTGAGAGATTGAATGAATGATGTGGCAGCTCAAACCAGAGGCAAATGAGGATGTGGTGGTGGGTATCCTGGGACTTGGTTATGTGCTTTAGGAGAGCAATAGAAATTACTTAAGAAGCTGGTTGAGCCGGGCTCAGTGGCTCAGCCTGTAATCCCGTGCTTTTGGGGGGAGGCTGAGGTGAGTGGATTGCCTGAGCCCGTGGGTTTGAGACCCACCTGGGCAGGCGAGACCTCATCTCTACAATAAAATAAAAAATTAGCCGGGCGTGGTAGCGCACGCCTGTAATTCCAGCTACTTGGAAGGCTGAGGCGGAAGGATCGCCGGAGCCCAGCAGGTCGAGGCTGCGGTGGCCAGGAGCGGCCACTGCACTCCAGTCTGGGCGGCAGAGTGAGACTCCAACTCAAAAAAAAAAAAAAAAAGAAGCTGACTGATAGAGGAATAATCCAAGAGGTCAGTGGGTAACCTGTAGGAAAATACACAAGAAATTTAACACCAATAGAACAAATTAATGGTTATGATGACAGGAAAGGAGTTTGTCAGATACAATAAATTTAAGAACTGACAATTTATAGAACTCTTACTCTTTGCAGCCACTTTTCTAAGCACATATACGATCTTGCTTGTTCGTTGCAACAGTCCTATGAAGTAAGCACTGTTACTTCAATTTGTGAATTCTGTATTTCGGAGTTTTTATTTTCTGCATATCTGCACATCACCCTTCATTCCCCCCAGCAGCCAGGACTGCTTAGGCATCATCAGTTATAGGCATCACTTGCTTTGGAGAATTGTAGATAACTAATTGTCCTTTCTTTGTGCTTTATTTTTCAGGTCACAAGGCACTTACAGCATTGTTGAGGTCATTGGTAGATCTTCAGGAAGCATTGCTTTTTCAGTACCCAGACACTAGATATCTAGTAGGTGGAACAAAGCCCAAAGCAGGAAGGTAAGGAGGGAATAGAACTATGGAGTTGCTTCTTTTCTTTTTATCTGGATAGTTTCCCATTATTTTTGAAAGAGAAGGCCAAATTCTTCTTTTTTTTTTTTTGAGTTGGAGTCTCACTGTCGCCCAGACTGGACTGCAGTGGCCGCTCCTGGCCACCGCAGCCTTGACCTGCTGGGCTCCGGCGATCCTTCCACCTCAGCCTTCCAAGTAGCTGGAACTACAGGCGTGCGCTACCACACCCGGCTAATTTTTTGATTTATTGTAGTGATGAGGTCTCGCCTGCCCAGGCGGGTCTTGAACCCACGGGCTCAGGCAATCCACTCACCTCAGCCTCCCAAAGACACAGGATTACAGGTTGAGCCACAGACCGATATCAGACTTAATGTTAGTGGAATACAGCCTCTTATATTTAACTGGTGGTCAGGATGGCACATACATTGGGAATGAGATTTTGGGTTTTTATGTTTAGTTGTACCTGAGTTGTTTTGTGGGCTTAGGCAAAAAAACTGCCTTTTCTTTAGATCTACTGGAATTAGTAGATAGAAGCACAATTTTTAGTATTAATGCTTAATTAATGTTTACAAAACACTTTATGCCCATATCATGGAATCACTGGTCCCAACCATCTCCTTTTCAATGAAGGAAGAAGCTGTTATTTTGAAGGATGAGAAATTTTCAAAAAACAGCAAAATAACCCTTTTTCTTTTCTGAAATTATTGCATTTGATGAAGGCTTTTCCCCTCCTTTGTGCATGTTGTTTATGATACCTGTTAACTTTTTTTCCCTTGGGCTGGCCCTTGTTTCATTTTTTTCCTACCAAACTGATTGGAAGGACAAAAAAGAAGCTCACATTTATTGAGTACCTGTTATTTGTTGGGGTCAGTAATCCAGTGAGTGCAGTTGGCACTATAGTTGGAGGTTGTATTCCATTCTCAAGGCAGTTGCATATACAGCATTGCAGTTTAATTCTGATTCTGTTGCCTACCCCTTTCAGTTTTTTTCACATTCAGCTTCCTTTCTATTTGGTTCAACTGATATTAATTTTTCCTGAACAGTTGGCTACAGAGAGATACGGTTCCCTTTTTGATTTGGGGATTAAGGTCATTGAAATATTATATGTTTAATTTTTAAACACTCCTATAACAGTATACAGGTCTGGTTCATACACATTTCTAATACTGGTTTTACAGCTTCATTTATTTTGACAGTTTGTGTACCTTTAAAAAAATATTTGAAATCAGTTTTTTTTATTTATTTGAAGAATTACATGCATTTTTGGTTGACCTTATGAACATTCTCTTTTTAAAAAAAAAAAGCTATCCTATCTTTGGTGTTACTTATATTCCCTCCTTTATGTGAGCCTGTTTTTTTTATTTAGGTAATGTTTATTTGACTTAGTATTCTTATTGGTCTTCTAGTGAAGAGATATCTAGTGAAGATGATGAGTTAGTAGAAGAGAAGAAGCAGAAAAGGGTCCCACCAAAGAGGAAGCTGGTCATAGATAACTATCCCAGCTTCATGGCAAAGCGCTTTGCTGACTTTACCAACTACAGGAACCGCACACTTCAGAAGTGGCATGACAAAACCAAACTGGCATCTGGAAAACTGGGGAAGGCAAGTGTGTATGTTCATGTCTCCATGTATAAGATAGGTTGTAACCAGAAGCAGTCTTAAGAAATTGGAAATACAGTTGGATGTTGTCATGATGTAATAGTAATCAGTCATTTCTGTAACAAAATTTACTTAACTTCTGCCACTGGGCTTATACCATTCAGACTTGATTAGATTGATTAACTTTACTACAAAAAATATTTTATTCTTGAAATTGAGTCCTTTTCAAGACCAGCCTGGGCAAATTGGCGAGACCTCATCTCTACAATAAATAAAAAATTAGCTGGGTGTGGAAGTGCGCATCTGTAGTTCCAGCTACTTGGAAGGCTGAGGCAGAAGGATCACCTGAGCCCAGCAGGTCGAGGCTGCAGTGGCCTTATGTGTGCCACTGTACTCCAGCCTGGGCGACAGAATGAGACTCCAACTGAAACAAAGAAATTGAGGCCTTGTAAGTGTTCAAGTCCTGAAAATACAAAATACTTTAAAGAAATGGATTTTAAAACAATAATTTTTAAAGTAACATAAATTAATCTTTGGGCATAGGAAAGTGATGAGATCTCCTTAAGACTATTTTTTGTTTAGCTGGGTGTTGTAGCTTACACCTGTAACCCCAGCACTTTGGGAGACTGAGGCAAGAGGATTGCCTGAGCCCATGGGTTTGAGACCAGTCTGGGCAACATGGTGAGACCTTGTCTCTACAATAAATCAAAAAATTAGCTAGGCATGGTGGCTTACGCCTGTAGTTCCAGCTACTTGGAAGGTTAAGTGGAAGGATTGCCTGAGCCTAGCAGTTCGAGGCTGCAGTGCAGTGGCCATGAGTGTGTCACTGCCCTCCAGCCTGAGTGACAGAGTTAGACTCCAAATCCAAAAAAAAAAAAAGACTATTTATTTTCCCCTGAGAATAGTTACAGCCACTCACAGACTCAGTCCTTAACAGAGAGTCCCTCCTGAAAAGACAATTGTCTATTTCTCTGCTGACATAGAAAGATAGGGAAACCAATGTAGCTGCCTTCAGCACTGACTTTCTGCATTATCTGACACTGGTTAATGTTGTTGCAGGGTTTTGGTGCCTTTGAACGCTCAATCTTGACTCAGATTGATCATATTCTGATGGACAAAGAAAGATTACTTCGAAGGACACAGACCAAGCGTTCTATCTACCGAGTGCTTGGCAAACCTGAACCAGTAGCTCAGCCTGTCCCTGAGAATTTACCAGGAGAACCGGTGAGAACTGTGTGATGCAGGATGATAACAGGGAACAGTTTCTATGAGGCCAATTAACTGAAAAACTTTTAAGCATGACCTGTTGGTATAAGAAGTTAGTAAAAGAAAGGAAAACAGTACTACTTTGCCGGATCATTGAGAGAAAATAGAGTAGGAAGGAGAATGTTTTTAAAAATGAAGCTTTTAGTAACTCTTGTGTGTCATCTCTTGATTTTGAGTTTGATATAGGAGTTTGGTAGTGGAAACATTTATAATCCAATTTTTAAAAATTCAGTTTTAAAGTTACTTCTATAGAAATGAAGCAAGTGTTTACTTCAGGCTTGTTTGCCATCTGGGTACTCTAGAAGGGGATCCAGAGGTGGAATAGTCACATGCTTTTGTTTAAAGTAAACATTTACCATTTTTAAATTGTAGAATAACTGTGTAATTAATTTTTTTTTTTTTAGTTTGTAAGTATTTAAGATGAAAAGTCAAATTTCTACTACTCTGAAAATTCTACTCGTCAACTTTAACCAATGTTAATAGTTGTAACAAGCTTTTGGGTCTCATAATTATACATATTATAATAGAGACATATTAATATACAAAATATGACTGCTTTTTAAAAACTAAATGGGATAGCCATATGCATATAAATATGTAAACTATTACAACTATATATAAAATCTTACAACTTTTAAAATTTAATATTTCCTAGATACTTTTCCATATCATTACATAGAGGTCTACCTCATTTTTCCTAACGACTGCAGAGTATTCCATTGTATGGATGTATACCATTTATTCAAAAAATGAATATTTATGTTGTCTTCAGTTTTAGAAATGTTGCAACAAGAAAGATTCCTGAACATTTATATTTGTGTGTTTGTGTGAACATATGGATAGATTTCTTGAAGTGGAAAGTACTAAATCAAAGAAAATACACTAAATCCTGCTAGATGTTGCCAGATTACCTCCAAAAAGGCTGCATGAATTTCCAGTCCCTTCAGCTGTGTACTGGGTGTTGCCAGTCTTATCGGTGAAAGATGATGTCTTTTAATTTGTATGAGGTTAGAATGAGGTTAAACATAGTTTTATATGATTATCTGTGGCTCTTTTTCTGTCAATGGCCTGTTAATGTTATTCTATTGAACTGTTTGGTTTTTTAATTTTAAGAGTTCTTTGTAGCCAGGCTCAGTGGCTCAGCCTGTAATCCCAGCACTTTGGGAGGCTGAGGTAAGTGGATTGCCTGAGCCCGCGGGTTCGAGATCCGCCTGGGCAACTTGGGGAGACTGCATGTCTACAATAAATAAAAAAATAAGCCAGGCATGGTAGGGCGTGCCTGTAGTTCCAGCTTCTTGGAAGGCTGAGGTGGAAGGATTGCTAGAGCGCAGCAGGTCGAGGCTGCAGTAGTCGGGAGCGGGTGCACTCCAGTGTGAGTGACAGAGTGAGACTCAAACTCAAAAAAAAAAAAGAGTTCTTTGTATCTTAGGTAAAATAGTGCTTTAGCTGTTATACATGTTATTTTAGTAGCTACCTTAATTTGATCTCTTCATTGGGATTTACTCTTTCCTTGCTCTCCATTGACATAGGAAATCCTTCCTCAAACCCCTGCCAATGCTCATCTGAAGGACCTGGATGAAGAAATATTTGATGATGATGACTTTTACCATCAGGTGTGATTTTTTACTCTTTTGTTACAAATCAAGTTTTAGCATTTTAAAACAACCGGTAGAATTCTCTGAACAAAAGTTGCTTATTTTGGAAGGATAGAGGCACATGGAGAGTTGGAACTCTTTCATTCAAAATTGACCTACTGTGTGATTCTGAATTTTTTGCTTTTTGTCTGCTTTATGTTTTCCTTTTGAAATGAAAACAGCTATGGCTACTTTGTTAGTTGCTGCTTGAGTATAAATTATCTGTAAAACAGTTTCAGTTTCTTTGAGTCATGTGATCTGTTCTTTCTTAGCCATTTTTTACTTATTTGGTTTCTCGTCCCATTACTATTAGATTTCTGGGACAAGGAGCTGGAGGGCTGGGACCCCAGAGTTCTTGAATTGCACTTCTGGTTATATTATCTATTCCTCTTGTTTTTAATGTCTTTTTATGCCTATCCAAATCAGTTAAGTATGTATTGAGAGTGCCTACTACTGTTAATTATAATAATAGTATAGTGCTTTGAAGACAGAAAAATTGGCTTAAGTTGAAATATGGCCCAGTTCTCAGTATGTCTTCACTAGCATCCTCCAATTCTTTCCCTGTTATTACTCTCTGCTGGCATGCTGCTCTTTTTAATGATATGGGAGACTGTTAAGGTAAACCTAAACATTTGGGGTAAAGAACTGAAATAACTTCCTGTATTCCTGGATCTCTTGATAAGTTTACTTCTCAATGAGATGTGCTTTAGGCTGTACATTTTCTAGATTAGTGGAGAATCGAGGATGCTGTTCAGCAGTTTTTGTTGAGCCATTGTTTATCAAGATAATTTTCTTCCCTGCCAATATTTTAGTGTGTTTCACCGAATAATTTGCAGCTGCTTGCTGCAGGTATAGCCATGAAGTACTATGTATGAGGAAAGGAACTTCTTAGGAAAATTACATGTCAAGCAAGAACAAAGGATTCTATACTGGGAGTACCTCTGGTTTCTCCCTAAAAATGGAAAGAGACTTTCTATTAATTTTTAAATCCATCCTGCAATATTTGATGAAATTACCTCCATAAGTGAGTCTTAAAAGTAATGATGAAAAGGTATATGGGAAAGAGGATTGGTGTGGCCTCAGCTGTTCCCTGTCAGAGGGCCTGATTCTTTTTTCTTCTCTTATTATATCCATTTGTCAGAAGAGTAGGGAACTCTATTTTGTTCCGGAGTGTCTAAGGAAGTACCTGATATGGGATATTAATGCTGTATAATTGTGTGAGATCACGGGAGACAATCAAAAATGTTCCATTCCTCATTAATTGAAGTGTACATTTGTTCGATGGAAAGTGCGTCATAAATTAAATAGGCTTAATAAAATAAACTGAAATTACTGGAGAGAAATCACTTCTATTGGCAATCTTTAGTCTGAAAGGTTTTTTTTTTTTTGGCCTGAAGGTCTGTTTAAAAAGAAATAGCATTACTTGATTGGCCCTTCATCCCAATTAATAATTTTAACTTCGATAAATTCTGATTTCAGAGTTATGACTAGTCACATCTTAGCTTTTCCCCTTGCTGGTTAATTGGGGTGCTAGGGTTAATCTAAATTAAAACTTAAACTAATAGAGGTCAGCAAGGCAGCCGAAACACCTGAGTGAAACAAATGGGCTGCCAGGCACAACTTTATCTTGGCTGTTTCCCAGGAGGGAAGTGGCAGCAAATTGGAGTTGTTTCAGCCTTCTGTAAAGGTGAATGATGGGTGACACTTGTTAATGTACAGCATCTCCGGAAGCATTCCAGATTGCTTTGCTGCTGTACCAACTGCTGCCATCCACGCACAGTCAGTAGGAACTGGACCAGTTGCCAACATCTGGCAGCACAGCAAGGAATGGGTGCAAGTCTTGAAACCCCGCAGATTCTAAATATGGTGCTTAGAACTGTGCAGGCTTTAATCACTTACCACTCTTTGGCAGCAGGCTACGACAGCTTATCCTAGCCTCGTACATCACATCCCGACATCTGCTGAGCTGCAAGGCAGATGCACATTCATTTTCTTTTCTTGCCTTTTCTCTTTGCTTCCTATTCCCCTTCTTCTTCCCACTCCCCCCTTTCAGTTTTCCTCCCCCTCCCCAATATGCTTCTTGGGAGAGATGATCTGTAAAGATTACCGCTTCATTGTGTGCAAGTAATTGTGGTGATGCCAGGCCCTTGACAGACACAAGGTAGCACCTGTTCTGCTGACCTGGTTAATTTCTTCTGTTGAGTGGGATTTGCCAGAGATTGGAGCTGAAGCCAATTCAATGATAAGGCTAAAGAAAATGGCTGTATGTTTTCTGTCACCTCCCAATTAAATTGGCTTCATAAAGTGCTTTCCTTTATTTGTCAGAATAGTAAGCCTGAGCTAAGTGTTGCATTCAGAAGTGGTAAAGTGTATTACAATGGGCCTGTGAGTTTTCATTTGTGTGTTTTTTTTAATGTGGTCATATGGTAGAGCTGGGTGGTGAATATAATACATCCTCCTCCCCCTTTTTTTAAACTGTACTTGAAGCCAGACTCTTTGGGTTCCTGTTTTGTAAGGAAGAGATTATAGTCACATTGAATTTTAATGTTTCATTGTAAGGGTTTAAAGCCTTACTTGGTTAATTCAGGTGTCTTGAGGCTGTGTAAATGTCCTAACTACTGAGCATGATATGTGGGGTCAGAAGACTCTCTCCTTATACACACATACTCATTCTCATCATTCTTTGTTTCTAATGGGCCTTAAATTACTACAACTTAAAAAACACGTCTATTTTTAATAAAGGTACATATGTGTATAAGTGTATGTGTATACATAGATGCATGCATACATATGTTATGTGGGGGGCATTTAAGACAGTAACAGATACCATGAATAATCTCATACTTTTTAGAGCTGAAAAGAACCTTAAAAGAAACTGAGTACCTGAGAAGTTAAGTAACCTACTGAAAGCTGTATAGTCAATGGCAACACTAGTACTTGATCTCAAGACTTCTTAGAGCAAGTCTTGTGCTTTCCATTATTTATTACCTTTTCATTACTTTTATTTCTTAAATATTTCATTCTTGAGCCATAAAGAGATTTCACTATAGTGTTACAGTTTTCAGTTTGTAAATAAGTTTCATTTTCTTAGAACTAGAAAAAAATATGTATGCTAGAAAGTAACTTTTTTCCTTAGAAAACAAATGATTTATGAAACTCCTCTTACTTAAAAATTCTAATGAAAAAAAATTAACTTTGTAGCTTTGTTACTGGTTTGTTTGGAAACTGGAATTACTGAAAGCTTGAAGTATAGCCGATGGTGAAGGTTTTATGAGAGGAACTGTTCACCTGCAGAAAAGCATTGCAGGGTTTTATTTCCAAATGGAATTAGTTTGCCTTTGGCCTATTTCTTGTCAAATCTAATTTCTTTCTTTCTTTTTTTTTTTTGAGCTGGAGTCTCACTCTTTTGCCCTGGCTGGAGTGCAGTGGCATGCTCACAGCCCCTGCACTCTCGCCTTTCTGGGCTCAGGCGATCCTTCCTCCTCAGCCTTCCAAGTAGCTGGAACTACAGATGTGCATGCTACCATGCCCGGCTAACTTTTTGATTTATTGTAGAGACGAGGTCTTACCACATTGCCCAGGCTGATCTCGAACCCCTGGGCTCAGTCAGTCCTCTCACCTCCACCCCCCAAAATGCTGGGATTATAGGTATAATTCACCACACCTGGCTGTCAAGTTGTAAATGACCATGAAGGATGAGCCATTCAGAAGTGTTTTTAGTATCTTTTTTATTTTCATGATCCTGCTATTTTATAATATTAAGTTCTTTTAAGATGTGTTGTCTGTGTCACCATTTAAGGTTTTTCTTTTGTTTTTGTCTTGATTTTTTAAACCATCAGATGATCTTTGACTTGATAAGCCTAAGTTCCTGAAGAATTGGGGAAGGACCAACATTTGCTGAACACTAGTTATGTGCCAGCTCCTAGACTAAGGAGATAGGTACTTGACATACATCTTTATTTAATGCTCACAAGATCCCCATATTGTGATATGACTGCACTTAGCAGTAAGCAATATGAAGTGACTGGTTTTATTCTTTTCATAGCCTAGACCACAAACTAATTTCTTGTCACCTCATGAGATATTTTGTTCTGAAAGGACTCATTGAACTTAGATGTTGACAGATGGATACCTGGATTTCTAGGGGTTCATTGTATGTTGCTTCTAGCTCTGTTTATTTTTATTTTTTATTTTTATTTTTGAGTTGGAGTCTCACTCTGTCACCCAGACTGGAATGCAGTGGCCGCTCCCAGCCACCGCAGCCTCGACCTGCTGGGCTCCGGCGATCCTTCCACCTCAGCCTTCTAAGTAGCTGGAATTACAGGCCTGCGCTACCAGGCCCAGCTAATTTTTTGATTTATTGTAGAGATGAGGTCTTACCAAGTTGCCCAGGTGGGTCTCGAACCTGCGGGCTCAGGCAATCCACTCACCTCAGCCTCCCAAAATGTGGGATTACAGGCTGAGCCACCGAGCCCGGCTTCTGTTTAGTTTTAATCTGGTTTGTCCTGTCACTTTGAATCTAGCCAGGAGTGTCTAGAGAGAGAGATTATTTTTTTGCTCTTTTGATGACCACTTTGATGGGTAAATTTCTCCTTTCATTTGCTATCAGGACATGTCTATAACTGACCTTGCTACATGCTGGACTTTTGTATCCAAGACATTTGATAATGCCTTAAAGAAGTAGTTTCTAATTTGGTGAGCTATTAAAAGTCGATAATGTTAAGAAATATAGAAGAGGTAAACTTTCTGGTAAGGTGGTTTACTTTAATTAAGTTGGTGAGTGATTAATATGGACAATTGATGTGTTAACTTTAATCATATGCATTTAGATCTTAGTGTCAATAAGAGCCGTCTCAAGCCACTCTTACATTAATGGTAATACAGTATTCTTATGGTTGGCATGTGTCTTTCTAGTGATTCAGTTGATGGTTTAATAATATGTTTCTTTTTGTTTTGTTTTGTTTTTTGAGTTGGAGTCT